TTTTTTTTTTTTTTTTTTTTTTTGTTTTGTTTTTTTTTGCTTGTCAACTGATTTTCAAATTTGGAGGTCCCCCATCAATATAAATTGAAGTGGATGTGTTGTGATTCTATGCATGAGTGCCATGCGCGGATCTAGAGGGGGTTAAGACCCCTTCCCCCCTCCTCCCCTGGGATTTGCAAGGTTATTAAATTTATTTACTAAAGCAAGAAAAAAAGTTACGCAGGAACCCCTTCGGAAAACGCAGACTCCCTGGTAAACGCGAATTTGTGTTAAATTGGTATGAAAAGGCTAAGGTTTGAAGCATTAGAAGTCATCGGTTTTGAAGTTTGGGCGAGTTTACGGGCTTTTTTTTTTTTTTTTTTTTTTTTTTTTTTGCGTGTCAAGAAATATCTGGGTTGGATATAAATTATTAATAGTCGAAGCATATAGGAAGGGAAAGCAAACTGCCGATGAGAGTTCCACAGTATACCAAAAAATAGCTTTTTTATACCTCTTGTCTAAATAATTTCTGTCCAGATTCCTTACCTGAGAAGGTACATGTATTTGAGAAAGTTCCCAATGTTCCCATTCCTATGATGTAGACTTCACGTTTACATGTATTTTCCTTTCAATTTCGGCGTTTAGGTTTACTTTCTTGTCATTATTTCAATTTTTGAACAAGTTTCGACATCCCCGTCTGACAAAAAAAATCTTTGATCTGTCCCAAGATCTAATAAATTGTACAGCACAAAATACATATGATTTTATATCTATTATTGCGCTTACAGATGGTTACAGGAGGAGAGAGAGCGATAGAGTTCAATGAATAAAAGAGTAATTAAAAATTATCTGTATTCCACCAGGTTTCAAGTTTCTCTACCAAAGTTTTTAAAATTATCTCCCAAATATTGCAACAGAAATTATTTTTATTTCTAACAAAACTAGACGGTCAGACAGGGATACTGAAATCTCGAAAGACTTCCTGTAATAATTATAAAACAGCCATATTCCGCAAAAATGTTCATACTTTGTGGTCGGAGTGAGACAATAAAAAATCTTCAAAAATGGAATTAGCAGAAATGTCTGTCTTTCAAGAATATTTAGGTAACGGCCATGTCAATTATTTCTGCCCCCCCCCCTTAAAAATACAAATGCCTCAATATCAGTCTAAAAGGGGGATGTTTTTTTCCGCGTGTGTGTTAAAGAACGTACAGATGTACACATAAACTTTTGTATTCCGGTTAAATGTTTTTAAGTCTTGAAATAAATATTTACCGTATATCAAATTACTTGGTTTAGTTTAGATTTGAGATTAGTACTAAAATAATCAGTTGTAATTGACAAATGAATTTTGCGATGCAAAACAACTGCAGACTATATAAAGAATGTTTATTAGAACTAGATAGATTTTCAGTTATACCTTATGAAGCCGTTATAATTATACTTATAATTATACTTTCACCCCCCCCCCCCCCCCCCCCCCCCCCCATTTCAGCCGCTCAAATACCACTCTTTTTCACTTGTGATATTTTCCCTGACCAAAATGTGATCAGCACGGACTAAGTGTGTCGACGCGCTAGACTGTACGGTGTAGATACAGTGTGTTTATTGAGTTTTTATGGAGTTTATTTCTTTTTTGTGATGCATATTTCAATAAATGGAATTTAGGGTGTATATCACTTAACTTGTGCACATCTTCGAACCGATGCAGTGATCTTATTACCAGGTATGGGTACGTTTACAGCGTTCGACGCGTTTTCTCGACATGCATCAAAGTCTGCATAAAACCTGCAAATCAAAGACGCTGATTGTTTTGTTCCATTCAAATGATAATAATTTCAAAGTGTGTTTACGGGTTTTAGTGCTTTTTATTTCATGTTTATTCTGCATAAATTGGCGCAGTGTAAAAATGCGTACTCGTGCAACTAAATCTTTCTTTCAAACTTGCATTTTCTTTCTTTTTTTATTACATTTGATTCAAATCTATAATTATTCAGAAATATGATTATTATGTTGTGTGGTTTTGAAATGTCTTGATCAACCCATGTGTTTTCAAATGTTTTACCATCGGAGATATGCACAGGTCGATAGCCAAGCCAAAAAATCATTCAAGTGTAACGAGGGCATTCGGGTATATATCGTTACAATAAGACAAGGTATCTGAAAGAAATATGGCGGAATACGGCTATAGTTGGTATGAAACAAGTCGTACATAGATGAAAAAGTTGCGTTTTTAAGAATTCATGTCAGCTTTAAATTGACATATATTTTATTTTTTTTCCGACTAACCGATCACGGATTTTCTAACCGATTAGCATCGTTTCGACCGATTAATCGATTAACCGGTAAGAAATTGCCATCTATAAAATACAACAATAAAAAATAGACGATTACCTGTTAGAATCTGACGATTCATTTTGCTAGTAAAACAATTTCCATAGTTTCTCATCTTATTAGAGTTATACAATAACATGATATGTATAATATATGACACAATTTGACACCATCAACTTTTTGGCACGATATATATTTTATGAATACAATAAAAACAGTAAAATGTATATAGCAACATACAAGGAAGATATTGATGTCTCGTAAAAAACACAATTCAATTAGAGTTTAATTCAGAACACAATGCTCTTATAAGAAAATGAGTAGATAAAATGTTAGAAATAAGATTTTTCTATTAGCCGGAAATAGGATGGAAAGCTTTTACGTATTACTTTTACTTTTGATGATGTCAATCGTCAGCGGATGTGTGGATAATTGGTAAGACTTTTAGTTTTGTTTTGCTTTTTACCCTTTTTGTGTTTTTAGATTTTGGATGATTTCATAATCTTACCTTGATTAATATTTTAAATAAAAATCTAAAAGTATATAATAAAGTTAAAGTGCCTATTCTCTTTAAAGTCCGATTTGTTTTTTTTTTCAAAGTATCTTGCTGTTCTGCATGTCTATTTCATAAACATACTTAATCAGAGAATATGTGAGTTTGAGTTAAGTGAGTAATATGTGAGTTTGTTTATATATTGGTTAAATTGTGTAGCTGTAAAATAAGAAATATAATTGCGAAAAAAACATCAATAAAAATATATTTCTTTATGACAAAAATTGAAATACTGAAACTTAAATGAATTAAAAAAAATTATAATGCTTTCAGGCCAAAGAGCTGCTGTTCTAATTACAGACTTACTGAAACGGGCTGCATACGTATGTACATGATTCAGTTGATTTAAATGCTTCTGTGAACAATACATATTAAATTAATGATTAGAGTAAATTGAAGTTTAAGCCTTATGACATTAGTACATACATGTACACACTCCAGTATTCAGCATGTTCAGGGTATCTCTTTTGTCTTTAAAAACATTCTAGCCTGTGAGCCTAGTACGTATGGAGCAAACTGTTCAGTGTCCTGTCCTGATGGTCAGTATGGAGATAGATGTTTGTCTGTGTGTGACTGTACAGAAGGAGAGATTTGTGATATGGTGGTTGGGTGTGTGAAAACCACACCTCCAAATATGGCTTCAACAGCTGACATTGTTTTGATGACCACTGTGTACAGCATATCTACTGTGACGCTCAGTACAACCAAAGCAGGATTAAATTCTACAAAAGGTGAAGTTATAGTCTATTGAACAGTGATCTGTTATTCTCTTAATTTCGATATTTTTAAAATCACACTACTATTTTTATACAAAAATATCTTAATTGTAGTTGGGCTCCTTTTCGCGATATGCATGTATGTAAATACATATATACATTTAATAATATTGTTAAACTTATGATCAACAAATGGCATGTTTTTTATCCAATCGCAATATTTTACAGTCAGAATTGTTTGCTTTTATACTACCTTTATCAACTTTAGTTTGAGACCAAAAAAAATATTTAACAAATATAATACATTTAATAAGTTTTGAGAGATATGCTTAATCTTTTTTTTTCTATATATAATTCGAAATAAGTGACGAGTCTAATTTTAGTAATGATAATAATCTTAACTTTCGTTCCATCGATAAAGGTAAGATAAATTCAGTTAGATATTAAAATTTAATAGTTATCTATAAGTTGAAAAATTAAAAACAATTTAAACTGTTCATTTTCGATTTTAAATGACTATCAAATTGCATATTATTAATGAAATAGCTAATATGACACATGGATAATTTTACTAATGCACAAAATGTAGAACAAACAAACATATAAAATAACATAATTATAAACGAAACCGGGGCATAAAGCTGATAACACAATTCGTTGGAATGTTGGATTAGGAGGCGATGATGGTCAGATTGACTTGTACAGGAGCTAATATCCCTGATCATACGGTAAGTTGACTTCTTTAAAAAAAAAAAGAAAGAAAGAAAAACCTTTATTCCATAAAATAGGTTTAAAAAAAAGATCATGAGATTCACTGCTCTCCAACAATTTTGACAGTTACTTTAAGATACTACATGTAGTAGTTAAAGCAACATGAGTTCCATTTTTATAATTTTATTTTGTTGTTAAACTGTGTTATTACATGTGTATGATAAAGCTAATTTAAACAATTAGACAAAAACAAAGTATTAAATTTTCAGAAGTAAGAATTGTGAACAGAATGTATAGTATTATATAGGAAATCAATATTGTACAGGACGACAATGATGTAACTTTGTTTTAATCAAGGCTTATAAATAGTTCTAAATACTTCCATAAAAATATGAACAAAAGAAGTAAATAAATGTTCTTTTTTTCTGTCTGGAATAGTTACTTACAATTTTGCAACAAAAAATTCCTACTTTGCAGCTCATAATTCTTTAAAAGGAGTAGAATCATAATCACCCTCTAATGGGTTGAAAATGTTTTTATTTTTTCCAAGTGGAAGTCGACATTATTGTTGCATGTATTATGATGTTCAAACAGTGAATGTTTTCGCTGGGATATACTTTTACCAAACTGATTTTAATTTATCTTGAGAAAAAGATGTACATGTACTGACTTTTGGGGGGAAAAAATGATTTTTTGAAAAGTTCTTTGGATTTTTGATTTTTAGAATCTACACGTGATTTACACCACTTCTAGAATATGCTGAAATTAGAATCTCCTATATTGCACTGGTCTCCATGATTCATAATAAGATATGCCTGATCCCGCCTACTTCGTGACGTCGAAAGCGTCAGGGCGGAACATTATGCGTTAGGTCTATCTATCGCTCTGAATCCTTTGACGTATGCATGAATTTAACACACAAATATTATGATTGCCCTATAACCTTTTACATCAAGCAACAAGGAAATATTTCAACAAAGCTAATAAAATGTAAGAGAACAGGGTCAAAATTAAAATATATCTATCAGCCGAGATGAAAGATGGAAAGCCTTAAAGTATTGCTTTTACTTTTGCTGACGCCAATCATCAGAGGATGCGTGGACAATTGGTAAGATGCTCCGTTTATCATCATAAGACCATGTGAATATATATTTTTTGATATAAATCTGTCTCTGATAAATACAGCCTACATATATACAAGGTCATTTTCAGGTCCAAGAGCTGCTGTTCTAATTACAGACTTACTGAAGCGGGCTGTGAACGTATGTACATGTTTCAGTTGATTTAAATATTTCACTGTGAAATAAATATTGATTTAATAAATAATGACAACTGAAGATAAATTCTTATGCTATGTTCACATACATACGCACCAGTATTCTGGGTATATTTTTTTTCTTCGTACAAATCTAGCCTGTTTACCTGGTACATATGGTGTAAACTGTTCAGTGTCCTGTCCTGATGGTCAGTACGGAGATAGATGTTTGACTGTGTGTAATTGTACAGAAGGGGAGATCTGTGATAAAAAGTTGGGGTGTGTTGAATCTGCAAATGCAACAAATGGTTCAACATATAATACTGGTGGGATAACAATATTGAACAACGAGTCTGAGGAGTCACTCCATACAACTGAGGCAAAATTTGATTCAACGGAAGGTAAAAAAATAAAGTCTATTCCTGAAATTGAAGTGATGTTCTGTCTACTCTAATGTACATTATATCACTCATTAAAAATACCGTAGATTGGCAAATATTCACGATGGATTTAATTTTGCTATGTTCGCGATCTATCATTTTCCCGCGAAATCAAACCCATCGTGAATGTTATTATTAGTTGTTAAAAGTGTTTAAATGCTTATACGTAATTTGAATTAATTTCTTAAAGCATGAAATTAAAACCATCGCAATTGGTACTATTTGAGATATCGTGAAATTTTAACACCGCGGAATTAAAACGATTTACAGTACTTTGTTTCAAAGATACAGAAGCACACGTTAATCTGGATGGTGTCCAAAGCAGTGAAGTCATTATCATTGGAAGCTCTCTTGTGGCCCTTTGCATCATTTCTGTTATCAGTTATTTTTTCTTTTCTAAAAGGTAAAGTTATTCTACAATATTATTACATCCCATACGAATTTTTTTCTCTCGATTAAACAAAAAGAGGTAGATTCATTTACTCCATAAAATGGTCCTGTCATTATACCAATTAACTGACGAGGTCCTTACGTCACATTTCGAACATAAACATAATGTGGAGACTTAGTGTTTTCATTTCCTATGAAAATAAATTACCTCTGAGAGTCTAAGCTTTGATACTCAGGTTAAGTGAAACTACTATGTTCTTGAATTTTGAAGAAAATGAGTGAATTTGAGCATCTTCAACTATTGTTTAGAATAGGAACCCATGCACCCCGCGATCCAAAAAAAATTTCATGTATTAGAATCTTCCGAAACAGTTCTTTTATTATATAGTTAAATATTTTAGATCAGAGGGAGGGTGTTATGTAACATATTCAAAATCAGCTTAAACGTTTTGCCATTTTTAAAGACATTGTCAAGATTTGAGGAAATTCGTGACGTCATAATACATGGATTAGAGAAATAAATACATCATTTTAATTTGATATGAAGTCACCAAGGGTGAAATTCAACATATTTTCAACTAAAAATGAGTAGTTCTGATTTTTCAGAAATTCACAGGGCCAAAAAGGCCAAAGGTGAACCTTGATCTTTCACTATATGACGTTGAACCCTTTACTCGGCAAAGTCACAGTGCAGAAAGAGCATCATTGCATATTAGACAGTCTAGATTCTTCAATCAAATAAATTAATGCCATAATGTTATTGGAACAATCTTTTGGCAATTATTTCTTTGACAATTGATAAATATTAATTAATCAATTTCTAATTTGTTTAGGACTGTAAAAAGAAAACGAAGGAGTGAGTAATATTTATGGAGTCTCTAAAAAAATAGAATGAGGCATGAGTTTTGTAAAGCTAGCATTTGATGATAGATTTTCAAAATGAAATATATTTCAGAGAGGGGCAGACCTCTTCCAGCGCCTGATGTCAGAAACAACGCAGACCACCTCAAGGGAGACGACTGTGTATATAATAAAATAGATTCTATATATGTCGAATCTCCCCTCCCTCTAACAATCCCCGACCCACTCTATGGTCACAAAGATGATTCTGTTTATCATACTCTTTCTCTGAGACTAGATTTAAGGAATGAAAAGTTTCTAGATCCACCCTGTATCTGTATTGGACCAAGGAAGCCCCACTCAGTATCCAATATCAATGTTCATACCGCGTATGAGGAACCCTCTATTAGCCTCATTCCACTGAAACGTGCTCACTCGCAGGGCGAGTCAGATTTCTCAATGAAAACGAAGGGTGGAGGCATTACAGGTGAGAACATTGTAGATATTTCACAGAGGAAAAGATCTCAGAGTAGTGAAATAACGAGACATCTAAATCAAGATGGTCCCTTTATGAGTGAATGTGTCGTTAAAGATAGGAACAATACTATACCTAAATCGAGTAGGGAAATTGAAATAACCCCAGCATTCGGTGACAATTCTTATATAGGCAAAAACGATAAAAGAATATTGAAGAGCAACTTTGACGAGCAGCAGTCTACATTAAAAGTAAAAGCAGGGGATTCAGCTTTAGTTCATCAAATTGATAAAGTTGACATGGTTCCGAACAAAGCAGATTTGGGAAATTCCAGGGAGGATGAGGACAATAAAATACAAATTGCTGACGTCTGTGAACAAGAACAAACTAATGGAGACCGTTGTCCCTTTATAGATATAGAAAGGAACGGAAGCCAATTGTATGAATATGCAATGAGTTCATATCCAAACAATTCACATATCGGCACAACACCGACTGATGGGGATTCCAGTACTGATATTATTGAAGAATAAAGATAGAGTTGTATGGGAGTTTCTGAGAGTGACAAAACGTAACGTTATTTATAAGAATTAAAAAATTTAGTGAAGAGTGAAATTGGGCAAAATTTAGCATTCTGTTTAAATTGCTATTGTAAGAATATCTTATTGCATTCCTTTTAAAAGGATTTATAATGTAACAAATTAAAGTTTAAGCATAATAAAATTTTAGACTTGGTCGTAAATTCTTTTGTAAATTGGGCCCCCGAGTCCGATGGCTACGTTTCTGACTTGGACAAGTGCTTATTTTCGTTTCATATGGACTTACATCAAATATACAATAGCACAGGATTTTTTTTTTAATCCATATGATAAAATATATTATTTATAATAAGTTCTGCTAAAAAAAATTCTATGAACATTTGAGGTTAGATTGTTGAGAGGAAATATAAAAGTTTAAATAAAAATGAATTGAGATATATCACTTGACACTTAACATATAAGGATCATATTAGTATGTTATTTTGGGATCAACAAATGAACAGGCAATATAATCTATTTTAAAAAGACGATCCTTTTTACTAGGAAATAAATCTAAATAGACTTGTACAAAGTTGTGTAATTTTTTTGACAAAGCATAAAAATCTTTGTAACCAGTGACAATTCATAAAGGAAATGAGAAACAATTTTGTGTTTTTTTTCCTCTACGTACCCGGAAATTTATCTGACAATAGATGGTTTGACTTTAAAACTCGGTCTCAAGAATGCACGAAGAAGGACCAATAAACCTACGACTTTGCTAATTTCTTAAAAAGAAAAAAGAATGTGTATTTTTTCCACTCTTTCACGAGGGCCGACCCTCTGATGAGAGAGAGAGTAAAAGTTCTCAATATTACAATTGTAGGTCGCCTTAACAGATTTTCATAATGTACATGCATAACTGAATAATCAATTAAAATATATATTTAGGAAACATGACTTATGTTTCCTTTTGTCTATACATTTTAATAACCTTTGAAAAAAAAATACATCCAGATTTTGAACTCTTACAAGTTAAAAAGTAATATCGACTTATGGACCATAATTAAATGTTCAAACATTATTTTTCATTTATTTAGTATAACTTTTTTGTCTTTTATTTGTGTTATATTTTTTGTTTTTAAAAAATATTTTTAAAAAGATAACTCTTGCTATTGAACGTACATTCTTTTGAAATTTACTATGCAATATGATACAAAAAGGGGAGCCGACATGGGCAAATAAGATAATTAAAAAAATAAAATTTTCCTTTTCTGTGCAAATCAATAAATACGTACATGTACTTCATATGTATTTTATGTAAAATATTAATAGTATACTAAGTAAATACGAATAAAGTTTACATTCCTTAGTAAGTCAAATTGACCGTTTCTGTATACTTAAGTACACATGTACTTTAACATTTTCTTTATTAGGGATCCTCTTCCATTTTAATGAAAACGTGTATTTCTAGATTAAGTAGTCCGATCCTAAGTTCTTAACACTAGCAAGAAACCGAAAAACTCACAAAAAATGTCTCCCAAATTTCAAAATAATGTTTATAATTGATTATTAAGATCACACAGAGATTTTTTTTTCAAAATAGACAAGGGTCCTCGGTAAATGTCTTCTGGTACTTTAGTGTACATTCCAAGATGATTTGTCCAGAAAGGGCTAATAGGTACTTGTAATTGATATTGGCCTGTTCAACTGCATTGAAAATGAAGGTCAGTTAGAGAATGTGGAACAAGTCTGGTTGTGAGCATGGGTAAAGATAAAGTAGTATTTGAATGTTTGTGTGTGCCAAACCTTACAATTATATATGTAAGAATGAAATTCAGAGTCTGATTTAACTAAGTTCATGGCTTTGACAAGTGTTATCTTTTTTAATGATTTTACATAAAAAGTAGAATAACACAGAACTGAAAATTAATTCAGAATGTCTATCTCATTAGTCCGAAATATCTGATATTTCAATGTTTTTTCATGATTTAGATATTTTGCCAGTAAAACGTCAGAACCGGCGCCATTACGTTCTTGACGTTTTCCTGGAACGTAAAATATCAAATCATGAACAAAGCCTGAAACGTCAGATATTCTGGACTACTATCTGATATGATAGCTTATATACGAGGGTTGATCCAGATGTTCGTAAAATTTCTTTCCAAAGTTTTATCGTAATTTGATTAAAGTAAAAAATAGGCATATTTAAAATAGAGTTTTTTCTGCAGCAATACTGGAAAAAATATCCAAGTTCCAATTGCCAATAAGGACACACGAGCTTTCTGAACATGGATAGTCTTAAAATCCGGGAGAGACTTAATTCAACGTAAGGTAATTTGACAGAATATATGCCGCCATTCCCCCATTTTTTCTCAAAAAAAAAGCCTGGGTATTCTCTCGAACCGACCTTTCTTCGTTTTAAACTCATATTTTAAAAATACTCCATATGACGTTTTAATTTCAGTAACAATGTCAAGCACAGTACCCCTACGTCAGTGGTCAACGTCCTTTAACGCTTAATTTGTGTTTGGCTTTGGCTCAGAAAAGCTAAAAATATGAAGATACTCCACAAACTTTTGAATCAACCCTCGTACAATACATGCAATAGGTCCTGAAAAATAACATTTGAGATTGGATTACTGAATGGAAATCTGAAAAGTTAAAACAAAATAAATTGAAATATATTTTATTTGACACTTAAAGGGGCTGGGTGGTTGTGACCATTTTAAGACTATTTTGATCTCCTTTAGAAGAAGAGCTCCATATATAACAAAAAAATCAAATTTTAAAACAAAAATTTATGAAATTTTTCTTTGCCAAATGATAGTTGACAGCTTAAGATATCATATCCCAAAATTTAAGTTGTATCTGGGGGTTAATAAAAAAAAAATAGGTTATTGACCCCCTAGCCTTCTTAACTTCAAATATATGTATGATTCTAGGATCATACTAATTAGTGGGCAATACTTGTGTCATTTTATTAAAAAGATGATCCTTCATATAAGGAAATAAATCTAAATAGACTTGCACAAACTTGTGTAATTTTATGTTTTTTTTTACCTAGCATGAGTGTTTTTAATAACATTTGACATATTAAAAAAAATACATCGAGATTTTGAACTCTTACAAGTTAGATAAGTAATATCGATTTATGGACCATTACTAGATATTCAAATGTTCTTTATTAGTATTGCTTTTCGTCTTTTATTAGAATTAATTTTTTTGTCTTTGAAAAAACATGTATTTAAAAGGACAAGTCTCGCTATTTTGAAATTTTTTATGCAATATGATTCAAAAACAACAGGAGAGCCGATATGGGCAAATAAGAAATTCAAGAAATAAAAATTTCCATTTCTGTCCAAATCAATATATACCTTATATGTAATTAATGTAAAATATGCATAGTTTACTAAAGAAAATACGAATAAAATGTACGTACACATTCTTTAGTATAACAAGAAGAATATTTATAATTTATTACGAGGATCACATCAAGGAATATTTAACAAAAAAAAAACCAAAAAGGTTCTAGCTAAATATATGTGTTCAGGTACTTTAGTGTACATTCCAAGATGTTTGGTCCAGATTGGACTTTTGGAATGAATCAGGATGCTCACTCCTCCATGGCACCTGATCCCACCTCTGATGTTTTCGAGGTCTGTGTTTGCTCTGCTCCTATTGTGTACTCTTTTATGGACTTGGAGACATAATAATGTTTGTTATCTCCATACCCTTCTCTCAGCCCAAATAACTTGAGCCTGTTTAGTCGCATTGAAGATGAAGGTCTGTTACAGCATGTGGAACAAGTCTGGTTGTGAGCATGAGTTAAGATCAAGTTGTATTTGAATGTTTGTGTGTGCCAAACCTTACAAGTATATACATGTATATGTAAGACTGAAATTCAGAGTCTGATTTTACTAAGTTCATGACTTTGACAAGTGTTTTATTTTATATGATTTACATGAAAAAGTGCATAACACAGGACTAAAAAAAATTAATTTAGAAGATCTGATTAATCCGAATAATCTGACTTTTCAAGTCCTTTTTCACGATTTTGATAATTTACCTGCCATAAGAACGTCAGACCAGGCGCCATTACGTACGTTCTTGACGTTTGGCAGGTGAAATATCAAGATCATGACCAAAGTCTGAAACCTCAGATATTTTGGACTACTATCTGATATATTATGTATGTACAATAGGTCATGAAAAATGACATTTGAGATAGGATAACTGACAGGAAATTTGAGAAGTTTAAATAAATAAATTTCAATATTTATTTGACACTTAACATCAAATTTATGTATTATTCTGGTGTCTGGAATCAACTAATAAGTGGACAATATAATTCTAAAAAAGATGATTCTTTATTAGGAAATAAATCTAAATAGACTTGTACAAACTTGTGTAAAAAAAATTGACCTAGCTTAAAAATCTTGACAACCGATGACAACTCATAAAGGAAATGAGAAACAACAATTTTGCCTTTTTTCCTCTGCATACCCGGAAAGTTCATCTAACAATAGATCGTTACACTTTAAAAGTGCACTAGGAAAGCCCAATAAACCTTGAGCTTTGCTAATTGCTTAATTAAAAAAATGAATGCATTTTCCCACTCTTTAGGGAGAACTGGCCGTCTGATAAGAGAGATAACTTTTTAAGTATAAAAGAAAACCAATTTGACTTTTATTTCCGATAGCCTATATTTTAAATAACTTTTGAGATTTAAAATAGCATCCAGGATTTTGAACTCTTACAAGTTCAAGAAGTTCTATCGATTTATGATCCATTATATACTAGTAATGCATAAGGTACGTAGGATTCTTCTCATATTTCTTGTATTTAAAATTAATGAATTTTTCACAGAATCAAGAAGACAATATCACTAATTGATGGAATCAGTGAGATTGAATTTGACAGTTTTATCTTTTAAAAGCTAACTTAGTTCTAGTTTGTTTGAGAAATCATATCTATTTGATATATTTTTGAAATTCTAGTTTCTTATCAATTTAACTTACATTTGAAAATTTCTTCACGTCTTTCATTGTGTAAGAATTATAACAAAATTAATCGTTCTATAATAAATTTGAGAGGCAGATAAGCCATCATTCCGCCAAAAAGATTAGTCC